TATATGGCTTCAAACGTGAATTTTATTTATTTGTTTAGTCACATTTTTTCACACAGGGTAAAAACAACTGCTTCGGTCCTCTGAAGGTGCTTGCACTGTGGATTGAATTTAAAATCACCACAGTGAAAAAAAAATAAAAGGCCAATCAAACAGTGAGGTAAACCTAGGGGGAAAAAAAAAAAAAAAATATATATATATATATATATATATATATATATATATATATTTGATGTATGTAAACTGAAACACTCCTAGACAGAAATAAATCAGTCATGACCATTTAAGGTAATTCAGTTGTATTACCTTTCTTTTCATACAAAACTTAAGAGCAATAAAAAGAGAAAATGTAAATACTAGTTCCTACACTTTTGTAAGTCACTATTATCAAAACAGAGTGCTTTAATTATATTTAAAGTCTAAGGTATGGGCTGGGTGACAAGATTTACTGGAGGTCAATGTGAGCAATAACCATTTTTCTTGCCAATGAAAAATAATACCATCAACGGGAGTTGTTAAGAGCTATTAAAATTGCTGAATTTAAATGCTTCTATAGGATACTTAATCAGAGACGTTTGGTCATTCTGGTTCGAGGTAAATATATAAAACAGTTACCAGGATCATGATGATAATTTTGATTATTTTATATTATTATTTATATTTTAAATGGTCCTGTTTTCAGCCCTGTATTATGCAGGTGTGGATCTGAGCCAAACACATCCTTCTCCTAAAGAGCATGACGTTTGTGGGAAACAGCCCGAGAAGGCTGTGCCTTCATGCTTTCCTAGAAAGACTTCACAGAAAAAGAGAACAAGACCACTTCAAACAGTGTGTCGCAAGGAAGGAAGGAAGGATCCCTACCAAACAGAAGATGACTCCAGTGAAGTCAGACGTCCAAGTTACTGGATCAGCAGAATGAGGGTCCCTTCAGGACTAGATATAAAGCCCACAGTTGGAGTCAAGAGGAAAAATCCCCTTTTCAGCAGTGAGCTTTCCAGTAGGTGCAGAAATTCATCTTTCAAATCCAGCAAAACTTCTCCTTGGTCACATGAGTCACAGGGGATTTCAAGAGCAATATTTGACCCAGAGTCTCGAACAAGAACTATTGCCCAAGTAAGACAAGAACATGGAGAATTTAGCTGTTCTCTAAGTCACCAGAGTTTGGTTTCTTGGATTTAGTGTAGAACACAATGAAATTCACCTTCTCAGCTGAACGTGGCAGCCTGACATGAAATGGCCAAAGCAGGGCACCGTGAAGTATTTTTTTACAGTTTTGCTGAATATTCTCTCTTATAATTAGACTTTTGAACATGTTTTAATACAAATTACTTTAATACAAATGTAGTAAATACAAGGGGCCTAGCAGTTTACTACCGACTTCCTGTCAAGGCTGTCCTATATTTTGTCATGCCACGGCGTGGCAGGCATGTCCCAACCCCAAAGCAGCTGCCCAGGTTGAGCAGGGACAGAGCGAAACACTTGGTGGGTCCCTTGAGAGAAAAAGGAAACTCTAAACATCATTACTACTTCACTTAAACGTGTATATCATCAGTAGCGTTCTTCAAAGGCACTCACCGTTTGTCTAAATCTGCTTCCTGTGTCATGAGAGCAGACAGTATTTCAAATGTAGTTATTAATTGAACCCTATAAAATACACCTCTCCATATAGGAAAAATCTTCATGTGCAGACAAGCACATCATAGCTCAATACCACTAGTTTTCATCGACAAAATATTCTGGAGGCCTTCACCTTACTATTTCACCTCTGCACTGCTCAAAAGAATTAACCCTATGTACACTGTCTGCCAAAAACAAACCAAAACCACATTTTCATTTATTTTGTTCCATCTTAGTTGTAGGTGTTCAGCACAGGCTGTATGCTGGGTCTGAAAGAATTATGGCCACACAATGCTCGTGACAGCTGGAAGAAAGCACTGTGTTTGGATACAAATGACAAGTGTGGCAAGGTCCACAACGCACCTTCAAAGGGCACTAGTGTCAGTTACCTCCAAGCCTTTCCAACAGCTTCTGACAGGGCAGGGAGAAAGCACCATATTCAATCTCCTTAAAGCTAGACCGGACAAAGCGCTAGAGAATATACTGTACAGGGGAAAAAATCTGTTGGCAAGGGCAGGGATGAGATGATCTAATGCAGAAGAACTTTTCCGTCTCTGATTTTTATGATTCTCTGATATACATGGACAAATAATGGGTCTGGGGAACAATTGGATACTTTGGATTTCTGATGAAGTCCACTGCATAGAAGGGGTACATACAAACTGAAATAGGGACAAACCAACTAAAACTAATAATTTTACTGCTCCTATTTGAGTCTGGGAGGGGGTTATTTCTGAAAAGGTTCTTCCTCTTGAATTAATGCCTTTGAATATGACATTCTTGGTGGAATCAAATAGGAGAGAACCACACAGAGATCCCAATATTTGGGGTCATCATTTGGGGTCAACCTTTCCAAGCAGGCAACCAAAACACAATACATCATCATGACCCATTTGCCTTTAATAAACACCTGAAACCACAGACAGGCCTTCTCAACCGCCTGTTGGAGCAAAAGGGCCAACCCAGAGGGGCAGCTTATGGGGTGCTGGTGAAGTATGTGAGTCACCATGTTGAAGTCAGTGCAATGACTCACCTCTTTCTAAAATGGTCATAGATCTAAGTAGCTTGTTGAACTGGTGGCCATGTATGAAGGCATGGGATTTGTCAAAGCAAATGCCAAAGTTCATTGAATGATTTTGAGGATCTGACCTTTCAGTCTACTTTGCTTCAGAGTATAAGCCAGCCATTGACACCAGCCGGCCTTACACCTGACCTGAACGTGGCCTGACAGCAGCTAAAATTTTTGCTAAACACTTCATGAAGTCTACTGTGTTGCTGGAAGGTGTGGCGATACATACAAGCTAGCAATTAGCTTTTGGGGTAACTAGGTCAGTTAAATGCCACTTACTGAGTAATAAGATTTTGCACCACATATTGCTGCCTCACAAAGCTATTACTAGTGACAAGAAACCACATCATTACATGTGGTCATCTGCAAACCTCATGGAAGATCTCTACAAGGAGGAAGCTGTTGTTTAAAGAAGTATCAATGAACAAACGCTGAATAATTTCACTCCTTTTATGTACATCATGCCTTCTCTCTGCGGTTAAGAATTCTCTTATTTGCAGTATGCAAAAAGGAGTTTTGTTAGTGGCTTGTGTTTGTTGAAGGGATGTGATTAGCATACAAATAGTCAATATTCAAAGGCATTCATATTTAATTAAACTGGGAAAATAAACCAGAGCAAGACATATTTAACTACCTATTATCATCATCCTCTTCAGACATCTCTTAACTCTAAGGTTTGGACACTCGAAGCAGGTAGGGCTCCCACTCCAGGGAGGAAGGGGAGGACACTTGGCTGCCCCCACACTCCCACTTCTTCTCCATAAGCAGCACGATTGCAGACTGACACCACTAAAGCACAAGGTTGTTTCTCACAACAGAGTTTTCAGGGTGGCACACACAGAAGGAGACTGGTGAACAGATATGTGATTGAAATATCTGCCATCCTGTCCTTGGTATCACCATGAACGTTAAGTCAAGTACAAAAACAAAACCGAAAACAAAAACATGATAGAGTAGAAATACATTGCTAAACTAAGACAAAACTTTAAAAGCCTATCAAGGAACCCTTCCCAGTTACTTGGTGAAGTAAAGGAGTATTGGGATTGCTGGAATTGTTGGTGAAAATGTTTTCAAGTCCAAACAATAACTGACACAGACAAACAAAAGGAAATTTCAATTTTGTGGCCTTCCTGACTCTTTCTTCATCTTCCTTCTTAAGTATGAAATTTAGCTTTGAGATGATTCAACATATGCAGAAAAAAATATTTTAAAAATCCACTAGTCCTAATCCTTAATTACTTGATTTTATATAACACTATTTTAATGTCACAATAACTTTGCCAAACTATAGAGAATATGCTTCAAGAACTGACCTGGTTAGAAATTTCACACAGAATTTTCCTTTGCTATCTCCACTTGATATACATTGTCTTTGTGATACTTCCCCTGAAACCCTGACTAGCTGAAGCAAACTCACTGTGACAGAAGGATTTTTGAAGCTGTTATTTTAATCCTAAGGTTTACATACCTGTCAGAGGATAGCACGTTCATAGCCTTTACTATTGTTCACAGATTCTTTTTTCCAAAGTCTACACATAGGTCTCAAGGGTTCTTGCTCCTCAAGGCAAATTACCTCTGAGTGTTTAGGTTCACCTCCAGCTCTGTATTTTTAACTTTTCATATGCTCTTTATGGTTTTCTTCCTCTGTTTTCCTTATTTTCAACTCCTGACGAGGACCCTTAAAGGAAAGAAGAAAGACACTTAGATACCATGGTGATGGGTGACCTTATAAAAAAACAGATAAATATACAGGGGCATTGTAATGTTTCCTTCACACTGACTGTGCTACAGCTGGGTGAAAACATTTGTTCTACAAACAGAAGCAAGCCTTTCAAACATCACTTTGGCCCCAGTCTTGTTCCCAGTGACGTAGCTGAGCACAGGACCTGTGTCTTCATGGGCCATTCACCTCGTCAAGAACTGAAGATAAACTAGTTAATGGAGAGGTGTCAGGTGTCAATACAGCTGACTGATTGATTCTTCCAAACAATAGATGATGTGCTGCAAAGATTAGGAGCTTTGGTTTAGGCAAATTTTTGGGTGGTTTCAGGACTATAACCCCAACTCTTTACTCTTTCCAGACCTCGAACATCACGATTTCTTATCATCATCACAACACATTTCAAAGCATCTTTTGTGCTTTAGTTGGAACTGTTTTGTGACAGCAAAAAGTTTTCAGAAAACAAAGGTAGAACAGTAAGAATTTGTTTAAAAGAGGAAAAAACTATGTTTAAGTTTTATCCTATGTTTAAAAGTTTACTAGTTTAAACTATGTTAAACAAATATGTTTAAATTCAACACCAATTGTAATAATATAAGCATCTTCTGAATTCAGGCTGTTAATATGGTACAAGAACCTTCAAGATTATTTAACAATCCATGGGTCATTTCCCTCAGTTCTGCCAAGAAGCCTTTAAAAACCTTACATATACAAATAACAACTTTTTGTTCATGCAAATGAAGACGATTTTTAACAGGCAATCTTCCTCCTTCTTTTAAAGACCCCATACAAATCAGCAAAATCTGTACAAGTCATTCTTTTTCTGAGGCCAAGAACAGGATACTGCAGCTCTCAGGCTTTGGAAAACAATTTATTTGCATTGCCCACTCAGCGCCCCAGAAAGGCATTGGAGCAGCCAGAACAGGGCATCAAGAGGCACAGTTTGTGACAGCCTGGAGAAGATAAAAAGGAAGGGAGTAAAAATGCAAAAAAAAAAGAACAAGACAGAGAAGAAGCAGAAGCTGAAGGAAAAGGCCAAGCCTGTTTTCTCTGAGAAAAATCCAGGCAGTCCAATGCAGAGGGAATGCAGCAGGGCTATTCTGCAATGTCTGGAGGTAAAGAGATGAGCCAAGTAACAGCCTTGTTGAAACACAACTAGAAATTCAGCCAGAGACAGCATTGATTTTTTTTTTTTTTTCCTCTCCCTATTGCCCTGGCACAGAAGAAGATATATGTGTTTAGATCAACTCATGCCCTTATTGAGTCTTGAGCAGAGAAGGGTCTGACTCAAGCACTTTTCATGCAGTCTGCAGGATTCCCTCGCGCACTCTGGGCAGATTACTGGGATAAATTAAGACCCAGTTTCTGCCCTTAACCTAGAAGACAATTCACCCCATTGTATTAAGAGGGTTAAAAAGAAAAAAAAAAGGATCCAACAGACTTGCAACAAATCTTTCTAACCACTAGGTTAACACTGAGTGTGATGTTTGTATGACAGATCATGATGGGAGGTGACAGATTTTCAGACCTTGGCTGAGAAGTAAGATCAGTGGGAGGTAGATGATTTCTGTCAATAGGTGAGCTTCGCATAGTCAAAGGAATGATGACCTGAAGCTATGAAGGGATTTTTATTTTCTTCTATTATATCTCTGCGTGTACATGTTCAGGTATTTTTTTTTTTAATCCATCAAGTAGCAGAAATAGACAGTGGTGTTTAAAAGTGTGAATTACAAATTGCTGAAGGAGATGGACAAACTGATTATGTGGAATTTGGACAGTGGAAAAGACAACTGCCCAAGACACAGTGTTCTTCCTGACCTAGCCCTGTCCTCATCTTTCATCTCATACACACTACATCGACCCCTGCCTCCGCTCCACACGCAGTGCCAGTCTCCACCGCCCATTTGTCAAACCTTCCAACGAGCACCTTCTGTGTCATGCCAGCCCCTAGGCACTGGATGAGTTCCTTGTAAAAATCCACGTCAGTGGCTATATTATCTTGCTTTACATCTGTCCTTAAAATCAACCTATGGTGTGACTCCTGGGCAGTGCGGGACATTGGCAAAGCAGCTGGTGTGCTCAGGTGGCTGCTGAGGACACCGGCTCAGCTCTGCTGTCACCCCTCGGGGTCCCTCACTTGCTCAGTGTTCACCAACACCCACTTTTGGTCATGAGCCCATATATCTGCATCACTTCGTGGACAGCCCAGGCTGGGTGCGTGCTAGCTTTGGGGACGTTCCTCAACTACATGCTTCCCTTTACTTCAGCAGGGCAATTCCTGATTTACACACTGGTCCGGAAGAAGAAAGAGAATCATAGCTGTTACACCACCCCACTGACACCCTTGCTCTCATGCCACGGCAGACTTTTCCTCTGGAATCAGTTTGTCCTCTTCTTCTAGGCAGTCACAGCCCTGCTCTTCTCATAACACCTTCTCAGTTCAACAAATTCAATTTTAATTCAATGAGCAGAGCGCAGAAGGAGATAGGCCTGTGCATAATGTTCATTATAAGCAAAAATTAGCTTGGCCCCACAAATCTAGCATATAACGAATGACTCATCTGGAAGGCGTGGGCTCAACTGATGACACATAAAGACTAAACTGTATTAAGGTTAATGAACTTCAGGATGATGATTTACACTAAAGAGAACGTAACACTTTATGGCTGTTGAGACAACGTTCGCTCCTTTTCATTACTTTCCTGAGGACAACCTGCATTAAAAAAGAAGTCTTACACAAAGAGCTGTTGACAAGCATACAAAATGGAGCATAAATGCTACCTACTACCCGTAGCTGTACCCACGAGACCTTCGTATTTGAATATCCCCTGCTCTTTATTCACTGTAATAAGTGAAAAGTGGTCTCTTAAGCCAAAAGTGCAATTGAACTTGTGGCGATGCACCCTTTTTGTACCTGCTGCTGAAGCCAGAATGCTAGCTTCTTCTGCAGATTAAATATGCATCATTGATGTTGCTGAACTGTCCAGAAATACCGTTAAACCTTCAAAAAAAAAAAAAAAAAAAAAGTAGTGAGTGTTTAAAATTCTCTCTATAGCTGCAACATGTTCCATGAGCTAATTAATTGCTCTTGCTACTTACTGGAGGAAAGAGCCAAGAGCCATGTGTTTGTGTTATTCATGTTTCTGATATAAACATCTGATTTTGTTGTTGTTGATGAGAAAATACTTAGGAAAGGGCATCAGAGCACTTTTCAGCATGGCTGACAATATGGCTCCCTATTTGTTTGCTCTTTTACCTGCTACCTGCTGAAACCCAGCGTACATTCTGCACGGAGCTACACGAGGCCTGCCTGCTTGTATGACAAACACCGTTTCTTAAAGAATATATTTTGACTGTGCCTTCTCACACCCTTCTGTCTGTGTTTGAGAGGAGCATTAAAACAAATATATTTTACGTAGGGAATATTTCTGCAAATACTGGATTTCCGACTGCAGAAAAAAACCCCAAACCTCCACCCCACACAGATTTTATGTGCATAAGAAATAAGCACAAGTGAAACACATGCTGCCAGGCTTTCCTGGTACACGCACCATGATCGCAGCCCCCATACACCAGTTCTGATCTGCTGCTGCACTCTTCTGACATTACAACAGTCTATTTTTTCCTGGTTAGTGTTCAAGAACCGCAGTACTAATTCCTCCTGGTTGCAGTGCCAATGACTGTACTGGAACTAGTCCCTGGAATGAAGTGAATCCCATCTATTTTTTTTAAAGCATCAAAATCCTAACATTGATCTTTCAAAATATCAGCCTGGGTTTCCAGAAGATGAATAGCTATCTTCAGGCAGTGTTGGTCCAGCAGAGTATCTCTGACCTTTGGACTTACTTCTCCCACAACTGGGACAACCAAGGGCAAACACTAAGGGCAACAGCCAATGACTCAGGATGTCCTCTAGCAGCGATCTTACACTCTGTAAACAAATGACATTATTAACATGCCCAGTACAGGCTTGGTTTTGGCTTGTTCTTTCTTATTTGAATTAATTTCCAAATAAGACCACTCATGACCTTTATCTGAAGCGGCGTTATGCAAGCCAAAACTTGTGTAGGCCAGAGTCTGTATTCCAGGGTAGAAGCCACCAGGAGCTAAAAGGAAGAAAGTAGGTTTCTGCTCCAAAATAAAGTGAAACCAGGAAATGCCTTTAGACAAATAAATCACAATTTCAAGTCAAGTGCAATAAGGGAAAGGGGAGTTTCCATGGCAGAGGAAGGTATCCTCCATGAAGCTAGAAAAACTCCAGTTCTGGCTTACCCAGAGCAGGCTTCTGCCACTGCTTTTTCTGGCAACACTGAGATGCAAATGCAACAACAGTTGTAACACAAGCTGGAAAGACTCTGAAGCGCTTACTCCAAGCAGCAAATGACTGTCACAAAAATGACTGTCAGCTTAGTCAAGACTTAAATCTTTTTTGGCTTGTTTGCACTACTGTGATATCTGTTTCCTCCGTACAACAGTGAGTCATGATGAAGGGAGACTGGGAAAGACATTCTCCACAGGACATCCCACTCCCCGCTTATCCCAAATTTTTATAAAACACTGAATGTAATGATAAAAGCAAACAAACTGCACTACTAGATGAGGGCAACAGTCCATGCAAGCTAGTCTCTTGTGGCCAGAAGCAGGCTTCAAAGTGCAACTCTGATACCTCTTGACAATTTGTCCCTCTCAACCTCCAAACACCCAGCGACTGGAGGCTGGATGCAGTGCATTTCTAATGACCTTGCCGTTGCTCTTCCTGCTGTAGCATGGACTACTGCTATAAATTTGGTTATCTCTCTCTAAAATTTGATTTGTTCTCAGTTGAACAGAAGCACAGAATTTCCCAGCTGAGTTACACATTACGGGAAAAAAGTGTTCCCTTTTGGGTTTTTCAGCCTGCCGTATTTCAGTTCACTTGACTCCCCACTTCTTGTTTTGTGCTGCCTTCACATGCCTTC